AGTCCCTCCTTGCCCTGCGTGTGTCCTTCAAACGTAACAAAGTGGAAACGCAGAAGCACGAAGATAAGCTGCTGCGGTAGTGTTTCCTCGCTGGCAGCCAGACAGGGTGAAGCAACAGGAGATATGAAAGGGTTTCAGCGACACGAAGAGTAAAGTTCTGGACTATTTTCCTTTAGTCTAATCTCTGCCACCTGCCATGAGGCTCCCGTATCTTTGAGCCCGAGAAGGCCCCATTTTGTTCCGTTCAGTTTAATCACTGCATTTAAATATGTGCGTAAAAAAACAAAACCAAAAACAAAACCAACAAAACCCCATCTGCATGAAACCAAATTTGATATTCTCTCCCTCTCTTAACGTGATCCCATGAATTTCTTGCATTGTTGTGTCTCATGTACTAAGGGTCCCATGCGGAGAGCAAACAATAAAGCAGCGAGAAGACAGATGCTCTGCTAATGGGAAACCAAGGAGAAGGGAGTCTGTGAGGGATTACAGGCAGCCTGGGGTTGGAATACATTATTAGCATAGCACCCAATTCAGAAATTAGTTTTCAGAATTAAATGCCTGTGGCATTTTGGCAAAAACTCCTGATCATCCCTCTCAAAAGCCCTTGAAGCATAAAAGAGTAGGAATCTCAAGTCTGGGCTGAGCAATCACATTGGGTGACTTTGCGGCGCTGTAGCAGTGAATTGTAGTTTTTATGGCTTCATACCATTACCGGGGCAGCAACTGCCACACCTACTGAAATGTAACCCACTCGATCTGCTCGCGCAGACCTTTAGCAGGTTTTGAACATCCTCATCAAAGAAGAAAATGGGCCTGAATGAGATTCCAGGATCTGTTTCCAGGAGGAAGGTTTTGTTTTGTTGAGTGCATAACAGCAGGGAAGTGCGTCGGCCTCTCCTTGGGCACGGTTAGGCATGCGAAGGAGAAGCAGCGACATGTCTTTTCAAAGATCTGACGTTGCCTAAGGTAGAAACTTCGGGTCCTGAAGCCTTTGTCAGGCATGCTATTTTCTGAATGTTTTTGCTTTTGAAAATCATGATGAGAACATCAAACTTTAAAAGACCCTGGGTGGACAACCGAGATTGGTTACAGGACTGGGGGCAGACAGGAGAAATGGTTTCTCATAGCACTTGGTGGGATTATCCTCCATGCATAATTGTTCATTATATGCTCAAAATTCATTGTTAATTTCTTTTGGATATATTGCACATTAGACAGAAGAGTTATAAACCCCAAGATTATCACAGGAGGACACTAATAGCCCTGAATATTCAGGACAGAAGGGGACTTGTTTTCCTCTTACATTGAAACAAAGACTCTTGGACAGAATCATTAGAGATTTTTTTGCCCGTTTGATAATCAAAGTATAGCAGACAGCAAACAAAAGAAAAGTTCAGCCAGCCAAGTCTTCTCCTTTATTTTTACTCTTCTATTCTAACATAATCAACATATTTCTCAAGGTTTATTTAGTTTCCCAGAGTCTTATTTTATATAAGTATCATTGGGGAGCTTGATGACAAAGTCTTGATTCATGCACATAAAGTGAGATTTTGTTATCCTGGGAGAGAAGTCAAAGACGAGGTAAATATGGGAGAAAACAGTTGGGACCAAACTAAGAAATCGGGGGAAAAGAATGTACCAGCTCTCCAACACGCGCCCGTTTTCTTTGCATCCTGGTAACTAACATCTTATTTCTAAGTCACAGAAGCGAGAGTAAAGGGTAATGCTTTATTTTCAGCTTTGAATTTCAGAGCTGTTCTTTTTATAACAACTTCTTTCAATGTTTTTATATATGCTTAGCGAGCATCTATAATGAATATTTGGGAAGATTCAAAATTACACATCTTATTTGTCCTGAGTACAGACTGTCTGTAGACTTGGGAACGTTTCTGCCTAGTTTGAGATTGGTCTGTATTTACATCATCTCACTGGTCTGCCAACAAAATATATATTTTTTAAAAAAAAAAAAAGCTGGCACATATGAAACCCTTACAGAGTACGGCTAGACTTGAGCCCAGCACCACTCACATTCGAACGAAGCTGGATGTATAAAATCCTGTGTATACAGGAAGCCTCCCTGTGATTTGGCTTCTCCACCAGGCTCTTGCCTCTCAGCCCGCATTACCTCACCGTTGCACCTCAGTCTGTTTTTCACGTCCCCAGATTGTGAGGGGAGGGCCAGTGTGCGCAAAAGCTCTTTTTTCCCGCTCCAACTATGTCAGTAATAAAAGAGGCTACAAGTCGGTAGAGCGTAACCTCCTCTTCCCTTGCAGTTACCTAGGTCACAGGCTCTGGGGGACCAGTGGTGCTTCCACCCAGCCAGGCTGGGAACCCACCGTCCGGAGGCTCCTGGGTGTGCTGGGAGATGATAGAGGCCATTCTGCCTTGTCTGCAGTCTGGAGCAAGTCCCAACTTCTCTCTTGTTGCACACACAAGATTTGTGAAGGTTAATAATAATCAGGTGCTTCAAAGAGAGAGGTTGCCAATTTTAATTAGTATTTTCAGACTTTGTTTGTAAGGTCTGCTTCTAAACTTGAAAACTTAGCACAACAGCCCTGTTTGAACTCTCCACATTAGGATCAAACACTGCAAAGTAGAAGTTGACGGTTGAGCTACAAAAGGTCGAGAAAATCATTTTCAGTGGTGTCCACGGTACTGCCATGGTGTAGGAAACGCGCTGCTGGGAGCCGAGGCTGTTACTCTTTTCCAGTCCAAATAGATCGAAAGCACGAGCAGAGCTGAATCCAAACCCCTGATCTCACTGAATCAGGTCTCCAGTTTGTCTGGGATCAATACTGTGATCAGAAGAGAGAAGAGTGTAATGGTAAAGGACAGCTCCCCGAGCCCATGAAGTATTTTATCACTGCCACTATTAGACCCACTGCCATTTTGCAAAGTCTTCTTAATTGGGTAATCCAGTTCTGGATGTGTTTGACAAATAACAATTCTCTTGTTAAAAACAAATCATGGTTTTAATTTAATAGGGTTAGTCATATAAAGAGTGATTTTGTGTCAGCAAAACCTTTCTTTCTGACGAACAGTGTAATTTATGACATTCTAGTTGGCAATAAATGACATTAATCTGACCACTATGCCATTCTGTTCCTGGGGAATAATGTTCCCTCTTAATCAATAGCTGAGGAAATGCTCCTCTGCATTCCTTATCAAATGACAGCCAGATGGTACTGGTGAATTCATTCCAGCAGGATTTTAGAATTAGCTGGGTTTGTACTATTGTTAATCCTCTGCTGTCTGGGCCACGAGGACCGACCCACCTGTTTCCAGTAACCCTCAACTTCGCAACCTTAGGAAATAGTCTAGCCAGATGGTTACTCAGATACAGCGCAGCCAAGAAGCATCCCAAGCAGTAGCCCAAGCAGTGAGGCCTTTTTTCTGCATCGGGAAGAAGAAAAATAAAACAAAAACCCCAGTATCTTGCAGAAGTAGCCAGCTAGGACTGCCTGCCGCTCTATCTGCTCCTCAGCTCTCTGGTCTCTTTTGATGAAGTTTCAAAGTTTCTTAAGATTGTGTGAGCGGGGTTCCTTAGTGCGTAGTGAATTTGGAGCTGTGACAGCTGCCGTACTGTCACTTACTGACTTTCTGGGCCCATCAGAGTGTCTGCAAGACCTTTTCCTTCATAGCCACTTTGTCGCATAGCAACAATAATTTTGCCTCCAACCTGTTGAACTGAAATAACATGTAATCCCCTCACACCAATAAAAAGGGAAACATATGGCAGCTCTAGGCTGGGGACCACTGGCTTTGGAAGTGAGGGGACGGTTAATCCCCACTAAACCAAGGGGGGAATGGAGGAAGCCATAAGTTCTGTTGGGCCGAGCTCTGACGATGCCTTAGGTGCCAGAGGCAGTTACGCGGTGCTCGGGGAGAAGCGTCCAGTTGACACTCATCCTCCCCCTTCCCTGTCTTTTATCTTGTGCAACTAAAGTACATTTCAGGTGAGCTTTGCTACAGCCTTAATTGCTGAAATAAGCATCCCCGTGCAATACCGTGGAAGGGACCGGGCACCCCTTCTCCCTGGCAGGAGAGAGTGCGCACGCAGCGCTTCGCTTATGTGGGACTGCAGCGGGTGAGGGTAAAGTTCAGCCACTGCAAATACCAGTTTCAAAATTCCATGGCTGGAGTTCTTGCCTGTAGGGTAGTTGTTTGGTAGGTCAGTCGTCCGGCCTGATAACCTTGATATTTTTTTGTATGCCTCTAAACACAGGGCTAAAGACAGACTTTGGCATCTGAAACAGGATCTGCTTTGGGGACGCGAGTACAAAGTTAAGGTCAAAGACTCCCAGGGAGGGAGTGCAGAGCTGTGGTACCGAGTGGGCAAAGTGTCTCCCCGCTGCCGTGCCCGCAGCACCGAGCCGGGGAGGGGGGGCTCTGCCGCCAGGCCTGCCCGCTGCCTATGGCCGGCTGCGGCGCGGGGTGGCCACTGGCCCTTACTGCTGCCCACGCTCTGCGGGGAGCCCGAGCCCCTACAAATGCACTTCTGGATTCTTCCCTAGGTAAAAAGCTTGGGGTGCACGAGGCAGCTAAATCCTCCTTGGGCCTGTCTTCATTTCCTAGCCGGCATATAGCACTGAGTGAAATGTAGGTCCAAAATCTGAGGTCACTAATTTGCATGGGAATCAGGAGGTGAGTCTGATGTTCTTCACTTCCCCAACAACCACCAAAAGAGTGAATTAAAGCTAATTCCAGCGCACCAAATGTAAACTCGCCGAGTAGGCTTCAGAAATAAAAATCAAAATAACATTGTTACATTGGAAATCTCAGTGGAAACGTTGCAGCGGACGGGAAGGCCGAGTTGGTGTCTCCGGAGGCTGCAAGAGCAGAGCGAAGGCTTCTGAGTCACCGTCTCCTGAACCTATTGTCCCATTTGCTGTCATATACAGCACAGGCTGGAAAATAGCACAGCGTTCACTTCAAAGGTATTTCTGCAGCCGGAGGAGTGGCCACTAATAATCCTTTCTTTTCTGTCATTTGAACAGTATTCAGGTTTTCAGCAAACAGCGGACAAGTGCTTTGTTTGTGGACACCTTATAATGGAAATGGTAAGAGACCTAAATCCCTAACCGCGGGGCAGCTTGCTTTTCACTGACTTTGGGTAGTGCGCTGTGAGACATTGGGCTTTTTCTCTCGTCAGACTGTCCTTGTCTCTTCACTGCTGTTAAGGTAGTTTTTGAAACTGAGGCAGTAAATAAACAGAAATATCTCTGTGTTCTATTACTGTTAAGTACAGTAAGTTGGGCTTCTTTTCTACCTGAGATCATGGGAGGCTGTTGTTCTGCCACATGCCAGTTTAGAAAAAAAAAAAAAAAAATTAATACTAAAGGGGGAAAATACAGCACAGCTTTGTATGAGGACACGGTAAAGGACAACAGAGGCTGTGCTCTGTAAGGCAGTAGAATAGCAAGAGTTCTGTCAAGTGGATGGAATTTGGGCTAGGGAGGAGAGGGACGTTATCAATAGTCCTGAGGTTTGTTGCCCTCTCTGTAACTTGCACTATTTACCTTCTGCCACTTGCTCCACGTCAGCTTAAATGCCTTATTGCCACTGGGATTTGTAGGGAGCCAGTAGTCAAGAGTTCCTTTTATAATAAAAAAATCAAAGGGCTGCGGGTTGGGCCAGGTACTGCTGGCGTCATTTCAGTGGGTAAAGTAGGAAGAGTTTAGTCTCACCTTCCTAAGCAGAAGTTCCCAAACAAAGTGAAGTGGCTTTGCACACTGAAGAAGTGCAGATCATGTAGTATCAATTTTCCTCTTGCTTTAAAATGTCTATGAACCTCAGTACGCCTACCAGAAGTAGCTACTGCATTGCAAACAGGGAGGTTCAGTAGGAGCTGGAACCAAGACTTCACTAATGAGGGTTCTGGCTCATATCCTGGCACCACTGGTTGGACAAGGATATTGTTCGTTTTAGCCCAAGAGCAAATTTCTAGAGTTGTGTCATGCTGGGAGGGGGAGGGGTATCCTGACTTGCACGCTTTGAGCTGGCCCTTAATTGCAGAATCCCAGGCAAGAGTCCATAACATCTCGTTGGTGGAGCTCAGTGGCTGGAAGCTTGGCAGGTGCTTGTCTGCCTCTCTCCCATCAGCAAGCATGCTCCGACAAAAGGAAGCAGCTCTGGGAGCTCCAGGAATTAAGCAGTCTTATTTGGCTAATTCCTTGGTGTTCCGCCCTGGGAGCGCACATACAACCAACGTGCCGGCGCAGTGGTGGGGCTGCGGACGGCCAAGGAGCAGAGAGCGGCAGCCCCACCGGCCTGGGCGCGACTGAAGCTGTTGAGGTGGGAAGCGCAGCTGAGTGGGGAGCTGGTCCCTGCGGAGGACCGGCCCCACAACCCCACCAGGCTGACAGCGCGTCTTACGGAGCTGCCGAGAGCAACACGCGCACAGAGACAAGTTGTTTCTGGCCAGGAACAGGCTGGCAGACCAAACGGAGTCTGGTGCCACTCACTGAACGGAGAGCTATAGGCCTTCATCAGAGGGGGAAAAAAGCTTAAATTAAATCGACTGTGCATTTTTCCTATGCACCACTTCTTAATCCCTGTTGATTTGATCTCTATTCATAGAATCATCTACAGGGCCACGAGAGCTTGGCCTGTGGAGTATTTTCATCTCCAGCTTATTAGCAGCTCCAACATGAGCACTCCCGATAGCAGATAGTTTATGAAATTACCTTCCAAAAGTATTTCTTACACCTGCTGAAATCTATGCAGTTGGTGATACAACGTGTTGTGAGCTGCCTGAAGATGATACCATGTCTCACTCTTCCCAGAGACTTGTTCATGGGCTTGGAGCATCCTCTTTGATGTCCCAGTGCCACAGTGGGTGTTATGCACAAGGACACCAGGAGGGATGGGATCTCTTCTGCAGTAGTGCAGCTGAGACGGCATTGCGCCTTTCCTTGAAACCTCTAAAACGCGGTAGGGAAGGTCAGCGTGGGAAAAGCCTGAGCAGATGGATGGATCTGTATCCAAACACACGGGTACAGATGGAATTTTAACAGAAACCGATGGCCCCCTATGACTGATAACCAGTCAGTAGCTGTGGTGGATTAGGATCCTGAGTTAATACAGGGACACCTGTTTATTTGCTTGTTTTGCTATTTTACTTTTTGAGTAATGACTGGCTTGGATTCTGTCTGTCACAGCCTGTTAAGTTTTGTGAATTAACTCTGTATCCCAGTGACTTGTATTTGGCTGCAACGCATTTTCCAAGCAGTGCTCTCTGAAGCCGTTTTTAATTTCTGTTGGCAGTCCTGGCCCTGCCGAGCTGAGCCTGATGGGCGTTACCCTGATTTTCACAGCTCTCGCTCTTTATTGGGAGCCTACTGAAACCCACTGAAATAAGCAAGTTGATTGTTTTAAAAGGCCCCTCGCTGACAGAGCTGCAGAGTGGTAATTTCATCCTGAAGTGCTTTTCTCACTGTCCTTATTAAGAATCAGACACAGCAGTATATGGGGGGGATCTCTCGTAATCACACATCCGCTTATTTTGCTGTGTGCCTCTTAAGATCTTACAGGCCCTTGGAAAGTCGTACCATCCGGGCTGCTTCCGCTGCGTGGTGTGTAACGAGTGTTTGGATGGAGTCCCCTTCACTGTAGATGTGGAGAACAATATTTACTGTGTCAAAGACTACCATACGTAAGTACTCAAATCCATTGCATGCTTGGAAAAATGACAGCAGTTAAATTATTGGTATAGCTATAAGCCTTGTAGTAGATTAAAAGGGTCATTCTTACTTGCTTAGATGTCCCTCAAGTGCTGCTTTCACATACAGTATTTTAAAGTTATAGCAAAGGTCACTTCATGGGCCCAGCGTGGCATACAGTGAGGCTGAAAATCAGGTTGTGTCAGAGGATGTACTTCTCTGGTGGCGGTTTCTCTGCTTCCTTCAGGACTTTCAGTACTGACTGGATCAGGCTGATTCTGCAAGTGGTGGTAGGTTCTGCCGGCTGTTTCTAAGAGTCAAAGTTCTGGTAGTGCATGACACTGGCGAGTGTGAGTTAAGTTATCCTAGACTGGACAGTAGACATGTAATTAGCAGCTGGGGTTGGAATGATTTTAGTCTCACCTGACAAAAAGTTTTGTGGTTTAAGTGATTGCTTTTGGACTCCTTTCTGCTCCCGCTCAAAGGCAATGTGAATGCTCTTAGCTCCAGTCAACCAATAACTCAGCTTATGTGGCAAGTGTAAATCATTCTGAACTCAGCCCTATTGGTACCGAGTTGACCGTGTTAGGATAGAGTGAATGTCGGCCCTGGGATTGTCATAAAATGCAGCTGTGGATAATAAGATCAGTTGATGTATTTGTTTTAGTGGACAATCAATCTAGCCACAATCAGCCCCTCTCCTATTTAGCATGTCACCTCGTCTTCCTGACGTCAGATGGTGACAGTTCCCTAAGTCAGGAGCTGCTTTGCAGTCAAAGCAGTGAGTCTCTGGAAGAATTTGAATGGCTTTATGAGTAAAGGGAGGTAAGAGAAAGGGCGTATGTGGGAAGAGGGCTGGATTCACTGTCCCAAGAGGTCAGGAAGACCTAGGCAGTGAAGTTGGGGTAGATCAACCTCTTCCAAATCTCCTTTTCCCCATATATCATCAAACATTTAGAGGTGTTTCAGATCCTGTGGATCTACATTTTGCTAAAAACAAGGCATGGTTAGAATAGCTCTCTTGGTTCTACTTTTTGAAGAAGCTTTAAATGTGATTTGAACACTTTCTTCTTGCACCCTAGGGTTTTTGCACCAAAATGCGCTTCCTGTAACCAGCCGATCCTACCAGCACAGGTACTTGTTAACATGCACTGACTGTTTAGAGAAAACAGCTGTTGGCATATGAACACTTTCTAAAAACACATCAGATGCTTTTCCTCCCTCTCCCAGAATCTATACTATGTCAGATACTAAATTAAATACAGTTCAGCAGTAATGTCACTCCCAAACATTCCCAGAGGTTGTAATAGTCATACTACTTATGCAGCATAGTACTTTGTATCTTTAGGGTGCTTTCCAGGTCTTAATTATGCTGTTATAAATCACATTTAATTGAAAGCCCTGACTGGGGCTCCAAGAACAACCCAAGCAGTAAAGCCCTGTTTATTTTTAGAATCTCCCATTAGCTCAAGTAGCAATTTTCCTTGTCTGCTACGTTTGCATTTCTGATGTGGATCTGTTAAGATGCCCAAACTTGAAAAGACATCTGAGGGTTACCCTGACCCTGTGAAAAGGCCACACAGTCTGTCCTCCTGGGCTGGCGATGTAATGAAAGTGCTTAAAGGGGTGGAAAAGGCAGCAGCAAAGGTGGCTAAAAGGGAAGCTAGGTGAATCGCCTGCCTGCAACCTCAGCCTGTCCTGACAGTATAGTTAGCGTGGTGAGACTTCTGCATTAAGACATCCCTTTTCTGCCTAACCGCAGTGGTGCTCCCTCACGCTCTTGTGGGTGCAGGACCCTCCGAATTCCCATCGCTGAGGTCACTGACCAGCTCATTTGTAAGCAGGGACCTCAGCGCCTCCCTTTTTCTCCTCTTGCCATGTTTATAGAGCCAGAGCTTGCATGCTATAAGCTGCTGTGCCCCAGTAAAGCCTGTGGGTAGAGCCTCTCAGCGTGCTCGCCTCCACCACCCTGCACATTACTCTCTAGTTGTCATTAGTACTTCTGTGTAATAGCCAGGTCACCCAGCATTGAAAACCTTATAAAGGCTGAGCCAGAACTGCTTGTCCTGGTGATGAGATGTGAGGAGAAAACCCTTATGTAAATTTCACTGGATTTCTGTCTTACAAAATTAAGAAAGAAAGAAAGAGAAAAAGAAAAAAGCAAAGCAGTGCTGCTGACTCATGTGATGGCTAGCAGGACAGACGCCACGTTCTTTCCCATGGAGGTTTCTTAGGTTAGTTCCAGTCTCGCAGTGCAGGTACTAACTTGCCCACAGCTTCTCTCAGACATAGTCTACGTCATATCTGATGCTCTAACCACACCTGGAACTGGAAACAATGCAAGGCAACGAATTTAACGA